CACCCAACGCTCCTGCCACCAAATTATTTAATTTTTATCCAATACTATGGTCGGTGGATCGACCGGGAATCGATCCCAGCACCGCGTTCTGCTACCAAATGTTACGGCCAACAGCTGCCCTGCCTAAACAGGAGTTGGATCCTTCGCGGCCCATAGACGAAGGAGCCACGGGCAGATGCAGGTCGGGCGTTCCTACGCCGAGGGTCAAAGGTTTCTAATGAACACGCGAGGGGAAAGGTCACTAGAAGAAATGCACTTACCTGCCTCAGGAGCGCAGACGGTTCTCCTAGACCGGCCCGGCTGATGGAAGTTGTGCTTGGTGTATGCGGTGTTGTGAGTGTAGGTGTAATTGTGTGAGCTGGTATGTTGACGGGAACCGATCTGGATGACTCGACGACGTCCGGGAGAAGGCACGCGCTGGTATCCCCGGAACTTCACCCTTCTGGAGGCACTCGTAAGGGGTTGTCACCAAATGGGACGGCTACTCTGGTAGTCCTTCAGATGTAAATCACTTTGATAGTTGCGCGCGAATTTCACCGAGTTAGTACGTTCTAATAACGATACCGTTATTGCAACGATTTACGCGGATTGTTTCTTTAGCAAGTTTAGGCGCGAAAAAATACGTCCGTATAGTTCGCAAGAAAAATCCTACTACCTCGCGAGAAGAGCCACACCGACTCGTTGGGCGGCCGGGGGGGCGGGGGAGAGGGAAGGTGTCCTTGATATCGAGGCCAAAAGCGCGCGTTAAATCCTGCGTTTTTATTGCAAATTTTCCTGCCTAGACAGATATAAATTTTTTAAATTATACAAATTTTTAAAAATCCAATAACTCCTCATCCACTTAACTTTTAATAGTCCCGCAAATTGCTCCCGGCTCCTCTCCGCTCTCCCCACTGGAGTGCGGCTTTAAAAAACAGCCGCACGGTTCTCGATCACAAAACACGTGCCCACGTGGCACTTGTTTTTTTGCCTTTTTCTCTTAAACTATGAGTCCCAAAAATCTTATATTTTCCACTTATGTAGGGGCCGACTTTAGCTTTAAGGCCGCACTTTAAAAAGTATGGGTAAAAGCGCTTAATCAAGCAGCGTTGCACTTTGAAAGTTTGCACTTTTTTAAAAATCACTATTTTCACTCTATCTCTTTCACCACAACTCCGATTTTCACACAGTTTACACTTAACCCTTTACTTCGCAAGCAAAAAAAATATTTAATTTTATAATTTTATTAAGTTGATTGGTTTCTTATAAGTCTGAAGAAGCTTAAAAAAATGTTGAAAAAATAATCGTACATATTGTTTTTGGAAAATCAAATGTAGGTGACGTACAACACTGCGAGATACTTAGATAATTTTAAAGAATAATGAATGTTGTTCTCTACCAACACTGCACCTGTGGTAAGAAAACAAAAGGTGAAATGGATACAACTGTTTATTTTGAAAAGTAGCTATTTATTTTATTAAAATAAGAAACTTAGGGACCTTAGACAGAGACATGGTAACTGTAAAAACAATTTCGTTTTTCCAAAAGACATAAACGCAAGTTACATTTATTGCAAAAAGCACTTGTAAATCCTTTTTTACAATATTTACATCTACCTTGCGGTACAAATGTTGGTAAGTGACCAACACTGTCATATCGCACAGAATCCGGTGGTCTTGGGGCTGATGGAGTCTTTATCTTTACAGTAGGCTCATTTTTTTTGCATCTGACTGCCGAATCCTGTTACATTGTAACAGTTCATTTGCTAGCTCTACACGGAATACTTTAAGAGGGAGACTTTTCTTATCACCTGGACGATCTCTTCTATAAGTAAGCCATGCATTGTTCACACAAATACCAAGTGATTGAGCAAATAATGCCATATACCATCGCTTGGTCTTAAAGTTTGAACGATAAAATGATATTAACATATCGGCTAAATCGACTCCACCCATATGGGCATTGTATTGCTTTACAATTTGTGGACACTCTATATCAACTCTCGATTTAGCCTCTTTAGAGTATCTCTTAATTTTTTCCTTTGGGTGGGAGTCCACAAATGAACTTGGCAACGTAACGACTTTGTTATCAAACCATTTGACAACGGCAAGTTTATTATCGTTGCAAATGAGCTGATGACTTGCGCCTCTGCCTTTTTTCGCTAAAGCCTTGTCAGTAGTCATTTTTGTATCACAGCCTCTCAAGCGATTCTTTTTTATAGTTCCCAAACTGAAAATGCCATAGTCCTCCCTTAAGTGACGAATCAATTCTAAGGATGTAAAAAAATTATCAAAGTAAACTGTTGCAGGTTTATTTTTTATAGTTTGACACAATGCTAAGACTACTTTTGCCCCAAGACCTAAGCTGTTTTCGTAGTCCGAAAAACAATGATTCCTAAAAGTATCGTCGCCAGCATAAGGGATAAAATCATAGACTACGCCAGAGATCCCCGCACGAATAAAAATTTTAAATCCCCATTTCTTCGGTTTCTTCGGCAGATATTGTCTCCTACTTCCAGCTCTAGTTCCTTTGTAGGGGACCATCATGAAAGAAAGAAAGAAAAGAAAAAAACATTTATTCACGGTCTAATCACAATAGATACAAAACAAAGCAAAAAAATGGAATTAAACAGAAAGTAAAACAATATTTCCCTAAATTAACAAAAATAAAAATTTAAAATTAAATTAAGTCTGTGTAGCAGCATAAGACCGTGAAATGGACAGGACTCAGTAAAAATCGAGATACAGAAACACGAATTGCTCTGATCCCGACACTGGTTTTCAGTCCGGCCCGCACTCCGAGATAACTCGGACGGCTGGCTCAGTGCAAATGCTATAATGCGACGCGGAATACATAAAAAAATATGTTTTTAAATTTTTATTCACATGAATAGTGGATATCATTAGTCTAATGAAGGTAAGTACACAATAGAATTAACGTTTTCCTTCTAAATATATCAATTTTATTTATTAAGGATGCGGAATAAACGTTGGCTAAAGAATAAAGGTAAGAAAATGATTGTCACAAAAAATAAATTTATTATACAAATATTTAAATAAAATAGTTTTATATATTATATAAAGTGAAAATTAAAATATCTACATAATTTATGGGACTGAGATTACTGACGTGTTGAAAGAACTTAACCTCCTACCAGTTTTTTTTATAGATCGGTATTTTTTTGTTCCGAAAGTAAGTGTAACCTGTATTTGATTTTAAACCCACTAATTGTTTTCAGGTCACGCAGTGGAGGCGGGAGGTTATTCCAATATTTAGTGGCATTATATTTAAAACTACCTCTGAAAGCGGCCGACTGGTAGAAAGGATATACTAACTTGTAATTGGATGATCTAGTATTATACTGCTTATTTTGATCTTTAGACCAAATCAACTTATTATATAAATATAAAGGTTCTTTATTTTTAATAATTCCAAACAAAAGTGATGCAAAGTGTAGACGCCTGCGACAGTCCATTTTTAAAATATTAGCGTTATTAATGAAAGGGGTTACATGTGCACGTGGTGGTACATTGAAACAAAATCGTGCACAGGCATTCTGTACCCGCTGTATTATTTGCCGTGTTCGAGATAATAGTCGTGGGCCTATGAGAGAATCCGCGTAATTGAATTTTGAAAGCACGATAGACTCGCAGAGATGTATACGTAAGGTGACACTTAGGTACTCACGAATACGATAAAGTACTTTCAACCTATAAAAGCAGTTACGTGCAATATCCATTACATGTTTCTCAAAACGAAGTTTGTCGTCCATTATTACCCCCAAATTTCTGACTTCAGAGACTCTCACAATAGGTTCGTTGTTTACAATAATGGCAGGGTGGCTTAGTGTGATCTTTTTTATTTGATTTGGCGATCCTAGAATAAGGTACTGCGACTTTTTTGGATTGAGAACCAATGCGTTACGCTCTGACCACAAAGATATCCGACCCAAATCCAAGTTCAATTTTGTCACTGCTACTTGAACATCACAAGGCTTAAACGATATATATATATCTGTAAGTCGTCAGCGTACATGTGGTACTTACAATACTCTATATTTTTAATAATGTCTGCACTATATATTATAAAAAGTAAGGGACCTAAAATGGATCCTTGCGGTACTCCTCGGTTCACAGGTCGCTCCCCAGAAATAGTTTTACCTTTTCCATTTAATTGTATTTCAACTTGCTCTGACCTATTTTTAAAGTAACTGGCAAACCATTGGGTTGCGTTTCTGCTTAAACCATAAAAATATAATTTTGAAAGAAGTAATGGGATATTGAGGGTTTCAAAGGCGCGCGAGAAATCAAGTAATGTTAAAATAGTACCCTCACCACTGGCTTGTGCAGTCAGTATATCATCCACGACCTCTATAAGCGCTGTGGTAGTGCTGTGCTTCTTTCTAAAGCCAGACTGCAGCTCAGGAAGGATGTTATTTGCTTCAAGGTACTTTGTTAGCTGATTACATGCAAGCTTTTCTATTATTTTAGAAAGGCATGGTAGAATGCTAATTGGCCTGAGATCCGACATAGAAACAGGGTTACTAGTTTTTGGTATAGGTTTAACGATGGCTTTTTTCCAGAGATCCGGATAGGTATTTGTCGCAAAAGATTTATTAATTATGTATGTTATTACTGTAATAACATCTTTAGGTAATAACTTTAACATATCAAGAGAAATGCCATCGTACCCCACTGCATTAGACTGCAAAGAGTTTATAACTTTAACAACCTCATCCTCCGAGGCTTCTTTGAAATAAAAAGAGTTATCATTAGTGCCATTAAATTCAAAGAAAGTGAGAAGAGACAATGAGACTTCATTTTTACCAGGAATATTAAGAAAATGATTGTTTAAAGCATCAGGGTCACTGAAATGGGATGGCAAAGAAGTATCCTTACTTTTTATTTGAACTTGGTGTTTAATGTGCTTCCACATTATTTTAGGTTGATTTAGTTTTGAATTAATATAAAATTTGAAGTAGGCAATCTTTTCTGAAACTATCGCTTTATTAACTATTGATTTTAGTTCATCTCGTCTATACTAAAACGCCCTTCTTCTTCGAGTTGTAAACAGTTCAGTCGGATCCGTTCTAGTATTGGACGAACTTTGAAATACCGATCGTCATTCATACTTGAGTTGTCGCAAAAATGGAGGTACTTTCTAATTTTTTCATATTTTCTTAGTGGCATAACATCAGCAATTTTAGAAAACCTAAGCCTATTACTCCAATAATCACGATAAGATGGCAACTGAACAACACCCATTAGTATCGTTATGGCAATAAAATCTTTTATATCTTCATTGGTGACATTGATACTTTTGGTAGCTGCACATTGTACTGAATACAAGTTAGTATTATCGGCGATGAGGTCAACTATGTCGTCGGAAAAAAAAGTTCTAAAATAATCTAAAGGCGTTTTCGCTGTGGCTTCTAAAGGGGGTTGATATTCAGGTAACTCAACTGTTGCAGCGTGTTCAAATTTTACAGATTTCCATTTAAATTTTAAAGGTTTCCTAACAAATTTCTTTACTCGTTTGGTTGTAAGTCGATGCACAGTATTAGCTGCTCTTTTTGAACGAGTTTTATTAGCTGGCGAGTCTAATGGCGACAAAACGGATGAAACTGAATGTAGCATGAAAGGGAGTTGTTGTTGAGGTTGACCAGTAGGAAACATTTCTTGAATAACAGGAGATAGTGGAACGGTATCTTCATCGGATAAAATTGGGTTTTCTCGTGCTAGTCCTACATTTTCAGGCTCAACATTTTCGTCTTCATCGGAACTTGAGAAAATGTGCATGCAATCTAAAGATGATGGATATGATCTCGGTTCAGAACTACAATACGTCAAATCGTCATCATCATCATTGGGTTTCTGAAACAACATTTCTTCTTCAGAGGCACTGCTGCTATCTGAAGAAGCTGCTTTTTCAGGTGGTACCAAAGCCATTATTTTTTGCGTTCTTTGCCATTTTAGCTTCATCTGAAACAAGCAATGCAAAAAAAAACATGCGAAACCGCACAGAACACGGAATAAGACATTAGTACGGCTCCAACGCACTTTTTGTACGAGAACCTGCGTCGGCAGTAGGCGGAACCCTGTTGTCACAACTACATTTGCAAATATAAGTACACGCTCACACATGCATTAAAGACGCCAATCAAATGTGTAAAAGAGCCAACCAAATGACAGGCAAAATCGAGCGAACTAATCCGGCGCGTGCTCACTCACACATATACACATACATGTAGTGAAGGCGTAAAGACGCGTAAGCAACTAGTGAGTTGAAGTGGCGATTGACAATTTTTTATCGATATCGATAAAAACTTCAAGTTGAGTGTTCGTGTTATGTAGGAATGGATGTAGGGAATGGATACGGTTTGTATTTAGGTAAGTTATAAATAAAAAAATTAAATTACTGTATTAAAATTAATGTTGTAATTATGAAGCAATTTTGATCAAATTTAGTACACAGATAAATTAGATCTTGGGGAAGGTTTTTATTTGGTTGACAAATTTTGTTGAGAGCTCTAAAGTACAAAGGGTTAAAAATCAGACATAAAATAATTCGATGTGATGAATAAGCAAAGCAATGCTAAAAAATTAACTTTAAAAGAGAATGTTATTTTTATTGCCCCTGAAATATAATATATTTGTTTAATAGTTGCCGCTTAGTTTCTTTTTGAGTCATAGAGTTTTTCAGAAAGAAGTGAAGTCGAATATTTAGGTATTTCTCTATAACAGCCTTAGTTAAATCGGTTATGTGGTTAGAAAACGGAAATTGTCCCATATCATGAAATCTGATCGTGTCAAACAAAGAGCTCTCAACGAAATTCGTCAATACTTTAACTTCGATTGATTTTTTATTTATGGTTATTGATTTTACCATAATATGTTGCCGTGCAACAAGTTCCGTAAATTTACAAATTTTTATTACGTCACTCGAAGGATAGATAAGGCCACCTTTGTCTTTTTTTTAATTAATTTGTGGCAAGAGTCAGTTTGACTGCATAAAAGAGCTCCGATACATATGTCGCATTTTATTTTATTTATGAGGGAATGAACAACGTTGCCAGCTATATAACCTAAAACAGAAAAAAATCTGTAACACAGGGATACACTCAAATAAGGACACCTGACTCGTGAAACTAGGGAAATGTGCTATCAGGAGTCAGTGATTATGACAGGAGTAGGCAGTTATAGTACTTGATCTGCCAAGTCGAGCAAAAAAGCGGCACGGCCGTACCATCCTTTTCTCGATTGTATAAACACGGTATATTTCGAATTTCAATCAATCTAATTTTTTATAATATGAATTACTTGTTAGATACGATGTGTTTTCATGCGATGGCCAAGTCAATCTTTTTATTTAACCGACTTGGTTTTACATGGATCTCACAGTTTTTTACGGTAGAAGAACTGAGTTGCGAAACTTGTTTTTTTTTTATAAGCTTTCGTAATATGCAAATTGTAAGATTTACGATCAAAACTTGAAAAATGATGTGTGAAAAAAATTACCTATAACTTGCATACTGAAATCTGTCAAATAATAATGATCCAGCATTTCTTCTTGGAATTCATTGTCTGATTCGTCGTCGCAAGCTTTTTCTGTTGACGGCGTGGTCAAATTAATCCGGTCAACAGCTGAGCAGGTTAAAATAGATAACTGTTCAAGCGCATTACAGTTGCCACTGCCGAAATCCTTGAGTTCTATGTGAACTAATAGTTTTTTATATGCTGCTTTAAACTGCCTGGCTGTCGGATTGTTATTAGATCCATCATGAGATCTAATATTGCCAAAAAGTTATTCTAGATGGTCCTGGCTTGTTTTATAAAAAGGAAAAAAGACCAATTCTCCAGTTTGAATAAGAGTCTCATAAAATTGTCTGACAGCTACAGCGCAGCCGATAAACCCTTTGAAACCTACTTTCCTTTGGCTTTCAATCAAAAGTGGGCCATTGTCACACTTTAAATTAGATATATAGCCAGCAACTTTATCTATATATTCTAAAATTTCTTTAGCATTATTTTCATTAATAGGTTTTTTATAACCGTGTTGTGACATGCTTTTTGAATTAAGTATATCAAAAAAATTATTTATTGTTTTTAAGAAAACTGTTGTTGGTAAACTTTCACGAAAAATTGGTAAATTTAGTTCTTCTCTGCAAAAATCTATGGCATCACATACGCTTAAACTAAATAATTGGGTGGCAAGTTTAACTTTCATCTTTTGATTGTGATAGTGTATATGCCGATATCTCAACTTGTTCGCCAAATGAAATTTTTCCTTTTCTTGGAGCTTGTTTAGTTCCTCAAGGTAGGACCACTTTATTTTTTTGCCATTCTCGTCAACAAACACTTGGTAGACCTGTAATATTATCAAATAACACAGGTGTATATGACAAATTGCCGAAAACTGAAATCAATTTTCGTGAAACGTCACAATTTAAAAAACCGTAAAAACCATTGCATGATCCTGATGCAATATGTGTCTCCAATCTAAAGAGATAAATTGTGTTGCGCAGATCCTTAATGAATTGGGATAAGGACAGGAAGAAGAAGATATATATCAATATTTCCACGCAAATCACGTCGTGAGAAAAAAATAGTTAAAATTAATTACATAAGTCATAGCAAACCTGAAATGCGTTGCGTATTAGCTTAACCATGTGAGATGGATCTAAAAGTGCCATAATTGGATATTTTGTGACCGGATCTTCAAATTTCATTTTTCCCTCTTCAAAGTTACATCCCAGGTGTTTCAACATAGCTATGTTAGAGGCACAGCCATCAAAAGTTAGAGAAACAATTTTTACTCGCGTTTCATGTATTTTTTCCAGACATTGTTTTACTAGTTCAGCTCGTTGAACTCCAGTCATTCCGTCAATCAAAAAATAACCCATAGGCACCTTAAAATTACAGTTAATGCCAGTCACTAAAAAAACTAATGCCTCCTTTGCTTCCGTTATATGGTCACCTTCTATTCCGCTACCGATCTCAACATGCCCGTGCAGTTTTACTCCGTCCCATTCTATACGACGTCTTATTGCCATTTCATCTATCATTAGACCAGCTATGATTGGATATTTTATTGAATTTGACTTTGCCTTAAGGGCTTTGAAGGATTCATCTTGGAAGCCTGGTTCTCCTTTTACACTTGTGTACCATTTTCGTAAAGTACGCACATGAGGCAAGCATGTTTTAAATGTATCTCTTACGTAATTATACGCTTTGGGCGAATAGTAATGTAAGGTAAGTGCAAATGTTCGGAGAGCTGGGGAATAACGCTGTTTTGTAATTCCACCGGACTTTTCTTTTGATATGTACCGACCAATCAATTCTTCCACCTACAAAATAAAATAAAAATTGTTTACCTAATTCATTCAAAAAATATATTGAGATGTAAAAACCGAAGGAATCTCGTAACCTACATACAAAAAATTAAATAATAATAAAAATTCGGTTTAAAGAGTAACCTATTACCTGTAAATTTGTGCCTCTCAATGCACTTAACTGTTTAAATAAAAAAAAGCGATAGCAAAAGTCTCAGGTAGTGAATTTCAATAAAGAAAATGTATGGAAAATCAAGCACTTCGTTAGAAAAGGCTATGCAGAGTTTTGTATGGTGACGTCTTTTTTTTTCGCGCGGCCATCAATCATATCTTGTTATTTGGGTTTAGAATAGTGTAAAAAACTTAGTACAACATGTATATATCTAAACCAAACCTTGTTATTTGGATTCCGAATAGTGTAAAAAGAAAAACTTAGTATGACACCAATATAGCTAAACTCAGTCTGGGCCGAGCTATGAAGGTGTAAAGTTTCAAAGTTTTTAATCTTCATAACTCGGTCCGGACTGAATTTAGCAATTTAGTCGTACAAAGTTTTTTGGTTAACACTATTCTGAGCCCAAATAACACGGTTTGGTTATTGGCCGCGCGAAATAAACATCACCACCTTCGTGTAACTTTAACCTTCATAGCTCATTTCGGATTGAGTTTAGCTAAATTGTGTTGTACTGTTTTTCTTTTATCATTTTTCTGAACCCAAGTAACAAGTTTTGGTTGATCGCCGCGCGAATGAAAAGAGACGGTGGCGTCTCTTCAAGTAGGTGGCTTCTTGAACTTTGAAAACTTTGAACCTTCAGCTCGGCTCGGACTGAGTTTAGCTATATACTTGTCATACAAAGTTGTTCTTTTTACACTGTTCTGAATCCAAATAACAAGGTTTGGTTGATGGCCGCGTGAAATAAAAATGACGCCACTTTCCGGCATTCCCTTTTACCTAAGAATCCGAATCGATAAAGATATCGATAAAATGCTTAGCGTAATGATCAATGCCATTCATAATTATTTTTATAAAAAAATATAATGAAGATTACTACCCAAAATAAATTGAAACTTATCGATAAATTGCTACAGAGTGCGTGCCGCTTCACTAGAATCATGTGTCACCTTTACATTGCGTGCTTAAAACGACACTATAAAAATGGTATGCGTACTTTGCCAGCAATGTATATTTTTTAGAATTTTAATAACATTTTACAGATTTTTACTTAAAAACCGTAAATTTGAGAAGTTTTTTACTTACCGATGAAAAGAAATTCCTCCTTTGGCTACACTCGACACTTCACTCCTTGCTTTGCAACTAATAACAGCACAAGTAGGCATATTTCGTCAAAATTAGTCGCCGCGTTTCACTTGCGCACAGTGAGATCGTTCGTGAGTGACTTATGAGCGCGATCACGTGTCTCGGGATTTATATGACCGTTTGGGCAAATCAGTGGCACGCGTGCCCCACCCACAACGCCATTCTAAGTTTTTCTGTTTTCTATGCAAAACCGCACCCAAAGCATAAATCAAATACCAAATATAAGATATTTACAAGAAAAAATTAAATTGTATCAGGTATCAGACGAAAGTCGAAACTGAAAACAAAAAGAACAACTA